CCGAAGTGACCTTTTTGGCTCAAGCAGGGAGGTGAAACAGAGGGTGAGAGAAGAAAGTGAAGTTCAAGTTGGAGGGGCATTAGCTGAAGCTGCATTCCCTCAGCTCCACTTGGAGCAGCACCCTAGTTAGCAATTCTACCTGGGTAAAATGAAAAACCACTGAAGAAAGTAAACCCACCCTCTCACAATGTTCGTGGCCTCCCCACTGGGTGTTCACACTTGGATCGTGATGAGTGGCATTGAGGACAAGATTCCTCATGTAGGGGAGCATGTAGCTGAACAAAACATCTATCTTCCAGAGCAGAGAGTCAATATATACCACACAGAGTTGAAAAGGCAGCACAGGAGAAGCACTTTGCCTTTTCCTCCCAACTCATCATGCTCCAGCTTAACCCTAGCCTTGGGGCTCAGCCCTGCTCCCAGTGAGGATGTCTTCTTTCTGACATTTTCCTATGAGGTCTTATGTATAGCTCTAATAAGAAATGCCAGAAGAATTAACAGCAAGAGATGGCCTCTAGGGGTTAGTCAGAGGCAGGGAAGGGTGTGGGTGGTAGAAGGGATAAAGCAAAGACATAGCTTTTCATTTTATCAGTCCTGTTAACTATTTGACTTTCATCATTTAAAATCATTACTTTGATGAAAAAGAGCAAATTATAATAAAGAACCACAGAGCTGGTTTGAAGCATTTTCCTTTAAAGAATCCCACATTGCTTCCCAACCACTGACCCAGGGAGCTGCCCCAGAACTCAGTCTCATGGTTCTGTTACCTCAGTGGGGAATGACCTTCTCTTTTCTTTACCTGAGAAAATTCTATGGGGTTATTACCCAGGTCAACAGTCATCACCCCTATGAAACCTGCCACTGCTGTCAGGCATTTTATCACCTAAGTAGAGACTTGTTCACACTGTACACAGTTTGTATATACATTTCTATTGCTATTTTCATAGTTTCTTGAAATCTATGGCGGTGCCTATTTCATTATTGAATACCAATCCTCTGACACAGAGCTGGGTGTTAGGAGAGTCACAGTAATCCTTTGCAAACAAATCATTGAATACTGCCCTTTGTGACATTTCCTGTCTCGTGGTGACTTATTTCGTTTTAATCTCAATTTTATCTCCTGTGATCCTGACATTTAAACTCTGGTTTCTCTTCATCTAAGATGGCTTTGAAGTTCATTTTAACCCGGTTTTGCCTGAGGAAATATATTTCAGTGATGGAGGACGCAGTTATCCCATGTGACTTGCCCCAGGCCCCGAAGCCCTCTGGAGACAGTCCTACTTGTTTGTGAACACGAATAGGGGTATTGTGTATGTTTAACTGTAAGCTTTTACCAATCTTTATCCTTGTACTTACTCATATAACACAGCATCTACTATATAAAATAGAAGTTTACAAGCTTGTGAAATAGAAAATTGGTAGTGACTAGTCATACATTCTTTTGCTAAATAGTTTTTATTTCTGTGCAAGATCAAAAATTATTGAATACATATATTCTATTTTTCATTCACCTACCTTACAATGGAACTGAGGCTGCCTGCAAGACACGGAAGCTATGCCTGGCACTTTATGAGCAGTGCTGAAGAGCAAGGACTTAGCAATAAAGCAGAGAAGCATTTGCCACTGGTTTTATTCCACTTGTCCCTTTTCATTATGAATGCAAAATATGCTTCTATATTTGGACATTTATTTCACTCATAATTTGTCTGGGTGCTTCCTGGTGAATAAAGTGAGACAACCCTGTAGATGATAAAAAGGAAAATAGACTTTCTTCCACTGAACTGGCAATCAAAAACATGTTCAGTGGAAACCACAAGAAAGGAACAAACCTGCTTTCTTTCTGGGAGGGAAAATAATGAGTCATCATACCCTTTTGATAAATAGAGTTATCAATTCATGAATTCCCAGTAATAGGTTTCCACTTGTCAGGGACTAATAACTCATTATTTTACTGATGGGAAATAGCACCTTCCTATTCCTGGCATGTACAGCTGCCAAATTAGATGTGTTGGCATCTGCTGGTCTCTTACCATGTCTAATAAATGTGTGCTGCTTATTCTAATGCTGCCTCTAAAAAGGAGGAAGTATTCACAATTATACCAACAGCTGTGGAGGCTGATGTTTCTTCAAAGAAGGAACAAACATAGAACACATTCTCATTTCAGCACAATTTGTTCATGATAAGCTGTCCATAGCCAGATAGAAACTGTCTGACCTTCTCAAAATAGAAAAGGTCATCACAGCCTGGCTTTTCCAAAGCTGAGCTGGCTACAGCTTTAAAAATTGTAAAGATTTTTCTCTTTCTCCGTTTTCTCTGTAGGATGTGAACCATGTCCCAGATCATTATTTGATTGAAATTTCAGCTTCAGAGATGAAAATATTTAAAGATTCTGAGTCCCTGATCTCTCACCCAAGGTGTATACTTTGGCCTTAGAACCAATTTCTTTATATTTGCCACAGTAAATAGATCATCAGACAAACATGACAACATAAAATTCATGTACCTTAAAGAACTATCTACATAAATTCCTAGCTAATGCTCACTATAAATAAGTTTCTTTGTGTTAATGTAATCTGTAAGGTCATTTTTCCAGAATCACTGTTTTGGGACTGATAAATATTTACAGTTTATGAGCCACCTGCATTTCTTTTCACCTCCTGTTTCCTGAATGTCACAGCCCTGTACAGAATTGAACACATAGGCCTCAGGTCTCATCTCTAGGCTGCAAATTCCACTACTAACCTGGTGTAGGTGTTGTGCTAGCTGTGTCTCCTAGACAGCTATAGACTTGGAAAGTCTTTGTCTAGAAGGCTGGACAGGAACTTAAAGAGTAGAATCGAGAGACATGACGGAGAGAGGCAAACTGGAGGAGAGCTGAGTTCTAATCCTTGCTTGGGTAATTGTTCTCTTTGTGACCTTGGACAAGTCACTTAAAACAATCTGTCCCCAGCTTTCTCCTCTATAAAGCAAAATGATTGCCTCAGTATTCTCCAAGAGCCCATACTTCTACAATTTTGGTTTCTAGAGTTGCAATTATCTGTATTTGCCCAAACTAGAGTGTCTATTTGTCTGGAACTTTGCAGAGGTAACACGTTAGGCTTCCTGCCTCTACATAGCATTATTCTTTAATTTGAGGTACTTTGACAAATTGTGTGTTTCCCAAATATCGGTCTTTCCTTATGAACTTCAGATTTGTGTCACACACCCATACCATCTTTATTTTCATTTTCTAAAAACTTTTCTTTGAACTGACTTACTATTTTTTAAAACTCAAGTTTGTTTCAGAAAATACTGTACTATTTCATTAAAGGGATACAGGGGTATCAATTGTAGCAGAAATAACCACAATTAAAGAAAAGAAATTGTTCAGGGGCAGTAACCCTGAATTGCTGCTACAAAGGCCCAGACAAGTAGAACTTTTAGGCCAGGTAATCAGCTGTAGATGGAAATCTAAAAACCATTCCAGTGACATTATCCTTAAAAAATTAAGAAAAAATATAAATGCTGTCTTAGTTACTTTTTTCATGGCTGAGACAAAATACCAGACACTCAAAGTTAATGGAGGAAAGGTTTATGCTCACGGTTTGTAGAGGTTTTAGTCTGTAATTGGCTGGCTCCAAGGTAGGGTGATATGGCACAAGGTAACAAAAGCAGCAAGGGACCTTAACAGTGTCTTTCTGTTTCTTTTTATCTTATCCAGACTATGTAGGTCCAGTAGCATTCACATCCTTTATCCTAATGCCCTTGAGGCTAGCATTGGACCATGAATGAATTCCATTGTCACACACTCTAGATCTCACTCCCTCAGAAACAGCACACCCCCCGACCCTCTGTGACCACATGAGACTTTGAGGGGATATCCTAGACACAAACCCTAACAAATGCTTTCAGTTGAACTGAGAGAATTCATTGCTAGTGATAAGACACGCTAACAACAGTTCTTCAGGCCAAAAGGAAATGACAGTATATTACTACTTGGATCTTTAGGAAAAAATGGAGATCAGTTCCTGGCATGTTAGCTGCTTTCCTATTATAAGGATTCTTGTGATTAGACTGGGATCACCTAAACAACCCAGTATCATCTCCTCATCTCAAAATTCTTAATTAAGTCACATTTGCAAAATCCTTTTTGTTATCTATATTAGTCAGGATTATCCAGAGAAAGACAACTAATACGAGACAGACGGATGGATAGATAGAAAGACAGGTAGATAGATAGATATTTTATTATTGGAACTGACTCACAAAATTATGGAGGTTGAGAAATTCTATGATATACCACCTGCAAGTGTAAGGATTAAAAAAGCTCATGGCGTAATTCAGAGTCCAAAGACCTAGAGGGAACTCTGACATCCAAGGGCAGAAGATAGATGTCCCAGTTAAATAAGAGATTGAGAGAAATGACACTTCCCCCACCTATTTTTTCTGTCTGAGTCCACAATGGATTGGATGATACCCACCCTCATTGGTGAGGGCAGATCTTCCAAACTCGGTCTACTGATTTAAATGGTAATTTCTGGAAACACTCTCAATGACACATCCAGAAACCATGTTTTATCAGGTATCTGTGCATTCCTTCCTTAGCTCAGTCAAGTTGACACATGAAATTAGTCATTATATCATCTAAAGCAACATCTTCACAGGAACCAAGGATTAGGACATGGATATCTTTAAGGGTCATTACTCTGCCTGCCTCACAGTGGTCTGCATATAACTTTCCCTGATAGAGTGCATTCACACAGGATCTCAGGACCATGAAAGAAGGGCATATGGGGCCCTTCAAATCCAACAGTCAAAACTACTCCCTGAGGCCTGTTGCCAGCCTCCAGATCCCCTTCATCAGCGTATTTCCCCAGGACACCTCTGAGAATGATCTCCACTTTGATCTGGTTTGCCCCACTCCTTTCTGCTGTGTTTTCTTCTGCTTGCTTATGAATGGGGCCGTCAGTATAGAAATAGGCAAGGACACATAGTAATTCTCCTTCTTTGTACTCTGCAGTGCTATGATCCAGAGAGGCTTCATAAATCTGCATTAGTGGTGGTTCCATCCTTAGTGCTTTCGTGGTGAGTATTGGTCAGTTTCCCCCAAACCAAAATCCTGATGCCCAAAGTGAATTGAAAATCTCTGGGGCTCAGTGGCTGACGCTGGCCCTGCCCTTGTGGTCTCCTTGCAGCCAGTGGTACCTAAGGGAGAAATCAGAATAGAGGGGATCAAGTTCTGTTGTTACTATTGGGCTTTGGAAACAGCACGGGTGTGGTAGACTAGAAAAAAAAGGAGAGAATGAGCTCCAGGAAGTCCAAGAGTGAGAGGAATAGTCAGGGCCAGTTCTCAACCAGGGCTGCATATTGGAATCTCCTGCAGAGATATAAACAGTGCTCTTGCTCAGCCTGCACTGCCAGAGATTCTAATTCAACTTGTTCAGGCATCAGAACTTTGAAAGCTCTCTAGATGATTTTAATGTTCAGCCTGAGCTGAGAAACACTGAATAAGAAAGACAAACCAGGCTGTGTCGAGAGCCCCAGAAGTGGTGTTCTCGTCCTCACAGAAGCTATCTACATTAGGCCCTTACCAATTTGACCCGAGGGTCTTGTTCAAAGCATATACTGATTAGGCAAGTCTGGGGCACGGTCTGAGAATTTGCATTTCTCAAAATCTTCCTGCTACTGCTGGCCCATAGATCACATGGGAAGTAGTAAGACTCTCCTAACTCAGTTTATGGAAAAGACCAGAGGGGCTGATTTGGAACCAGGATCAAGTTGCCTTCTTCCGGGTCTGGAGAACACTGAACTTCACATACCTCTGTCAGGTGAAAAGGAATCAGCTTTGGAAGCCATTAGTGAAAACAAAGAATTGAGAGACTATACAAAAGTTATCCAGATTAGCAACTGGGAAAAAAAATGATAATTGTATGAATCAATTATAGCAATTCCTTATTGGCAAAATCAGCATAAGGTATTTATTTGCTTAAGGTGCCAAACTCTATGTGAGTTCATCTTATCTAAATATCTATAGATGCATATACACATATACAGATGGTCCTTTCCTTAGGATGGTTCAACTTAAGATTTTTGACTTTATAATGCTGTGAAAGTGCTACACGTTCAGTAGAAACTGTACTTCAGATTTGGAAATGGGATCTTTTCCCTGGGCTAGTGTTATGTTGGTCACACATCCTTCCTTACTTGAGATAATGGGCAGCGGCAGTGATCCACAGTTCCCAGTTAGTTAGTTATGTGATCGACAGCAGAAACAACCCAGACCCTACAGTGTTCAGTGCTATAAGCAGGGCTGTTTGGCTGGTTAGCAATACTGACTACATATTTTTTTACTTATAATATTTTCAGTTTGCCATTGGTTTATTGTGATGTAACTCCATCGTAAACAGAAGAGCAGATGCATAAACTTGGTCTTGGCTCAAGGAATCAGACCAAATCTCTTCTAGTTGAAGGTGGTCATTTAAAGCCAGGCACACTCAGGTGGATATGTGTGTGGCTCTATGAACAGGGTTATCTCTGGTTGGTGTGTTACCACTACCAACAGATTCCTTCCTTTTCTTGCCCTCTTTTCTCCTTCCTCCCTCTTTTCCTTCCTTCTTTCTTCTCTCCCTTTCTTCTGTCCTCCCCTCACTTCATTCCTTCTTTTCCTTCTCATCTTTTCTTTTTTTCTTCACTACTTTCTTTTATTTCCCTCCTTTTCATAGACATTCAGTGGGGTCCCTTAAATTTTTCAGTCTCCAAGAATTTGTCCACCCTGAATCAGGGGAAATATTTCAGAATGGTTAATTCTTGAAGCTGGGCAATAGAACAGCAGGAAAAGTTGCTGCCAACTTTAAGAAAGTGGGCTCTGCTAAAACTTCTACCTTCTGGGAGAGGACTGGCCTCTCTACCCTTAGCTCATTGTCCTTGGACCTTTACAAACTTCATTTTCTTCACTGATTAAAAAGGTTAATTATACTCTTTTTAGAATCGATACAGGTAATACAAGGAAAATGTAAAATTGTTAATGAATGCTACTGTTGCTGTTTTTGCCTCAGGCAAACTCTCATCAAGGCAGCAAAAGGACTAAATGAAGTACAAGGAGGACTGTGACTTTATTTTGTCATTTACCTGACCCCCTGGTAAACCAAGATGGACTGGCAAGAAGAGGTACTAAGGCTGCCAGGTCCTTTCTGGTGAGTATAAGACTGGTACTTATGAGCTCCAACTGGTCCCGTGCAGATGGCTGTTTGTCATTTACTGCAGCTGAGTGCACAGGCTTTTCATGACACACCCTGATTGATGTGTGTTTGGAATATGATATCTATTGCTAATTTGTCTGCTTGCTACAATGCCACTTTATGAAAACCAAAATGAAAACTTAAATTGCTTGAAAAAATTACCACCCAGGGATGGTGTTTATTTGGATAGAAGCTGGTATCAGAGAGAAATAATGAGTGTGCATAGGACACCAAAACCCTGTCATGTCGATGGCCACCATCCTCACTAGCAGAGACATCTGAGGAGGCTTTTCTACTTGATCTTTTTTCTTCTAGTTTGTATTGACTTGAAAGTCCATCCTATGTCTGAAAATACCAATGGCAAGAAAACATGACATTAGCCTGAAGATTATAAAATTGAATGGAGCTTATGCCTTTCTTATGTTTTCTTGTGTTTGTCTTTTAGAAAGGTAACATAATATAGAGGAGTGAAGAGCATCTTTGGATTATGATTGCAAAAATAGATTATGGCATTGATTATAAACTCTATCACATGAGTGACAACTAAACAAGATGTCCATATGATTATGGGGTACCTGCTTAGGAGCTGCATGAGGGCTTGTTCAAATGTAGATTCCAGGGCTCTGTCTTCGAGGGTTACAACTTAGTGCAACTGGGGTTGGGTCTGAAATTGTATTTTAAAATTTCTGGTGGGGGATTCTTCAGTGAAGCTAGATTTAACACATGGAGGACCACACAGGATATGTGGTCTCTGGTAGCAAGCCAAACAGCTTTGGTCAAATATGATTGATTGACAACCAAATTAGATCAAAGGGGCAGTGAGTTTTAGGAGAAAAAGTAGTGATTCCAGAGAAAACAGCTGGAAATTTTTGAGTGCTTGTAATGGGTCAGCCACTGGGCTAAGTTCTTTAATCCTCACCACTTATTTACTTGTTTATTGGTTTTAGCAAATGAGAAAACTTAGGCACCTTGGCCAAAGTGTCACACTTACAAGCATTGGAGAGATGGTTTAACTCTATGTCTGTGTAACTCCATTGTTCAAACCAAAAAGATAAAAGAGAAAGAAGCTGCTTTGACTTCACGAAAGGCGTACATTTTTGCTTTGGAAGGAGTTAAATTTATTTCTATACAATTATTGCAAAGGTCTGACAAAAGGATAAGATGAATTTTAGGTGCTATAAAAATTGTATTATATTATAAAGGATGAATCTTGCTAACTGTGGTTCAAACAAAGAAACTTACAAGTAAGGAAAATCAGATATTAATGATCTCTGTAATTAACTTAATTTGGTTGACACCAAAGTCCAGTGTATTTTCTGGTATAGCTTTAAATGTCATAAATCAATATTTTAAATATAATATGACCTATATATTTTTTCTGCTTCATTAGCTTATGCTAGCCTAATAAAACCTGACAATGGAACAAAAGATTTTCCTTGTGGTGATATTTTAATTGTCATAAAAATGTCATATAAGATTAAGGGGCCAGCTGAGTCTTCATAGTTTCTCAGGGACTAGAGAAATCATGAAAAAATGCGCATGTTATTTCTTGGATAAAATACTGGCCATGATTTCTTCCACAATGTTCTTTTTCCTTTTTTTTTTAAGGTTTTCATGATGTTATAAGACTTCTATTTTTTTTGTCCCATTAATTTTATTGGTACATTTTAGGTATAAAATACATTTACATACATCATTGAGATCTTGTACCATTACATGAGTATCTTGGTTCTTATTTTTCCCCCTTCCCCTGCCCTCCCTTC